TTGAAATTTAATTGTTGCCTAGCCCAATCCTTATTTATTTGTTTGTTCATATCCTTCCCTTTTTATTTTTACAAATAACTCAAGGCAGTGAAAATATTCAATACACCTTCCTCCTCCTGTTTTCCCCATAACAACAACCCTGTGAGGTGAGTTAGGCTGGCTTAATTCACCCAGCTGGCTTTCATGGCAAAGCCAGGACTTGAACTAGCCTGATGCCTTAACCATTGGACTAAATTGGCACTCTATATATACCATTAAGCAAAGCTTCAAGATTGCATGTCTCTTATTTCTACATGAACCTCTCCCACTCTCAAAGCTTGGGTTGATCTGTGGTGTATAAGTGCTTAGAAAAACAATGCTTTTGTATATAGTAGGGAATTCTAATGTGAAGATATGACAGGTTCTTGTGTGTAACAATGCAGCAAAGTCTGGGGTGGGCTGCAAGCTAAATTGAGTGGTTCTATATTACCTTACTGAAGGAAAACATGGGAAGTACAGTATTTGCTTGTTTATCTGACTGAAAGTCAACTTCCCTTCCAAAATGAACCCTGAACAGTTAACAATTCCTTAACCTCCTTCTTGACTGCACAAGAGCCCCTGATCTAATCCTGATTTGTGATTCTTCATTCCATCTCTGGCTGATGCCAGATGCTATTTTAAGTCTTGGACAGTTTCTTTGGACTTAAGTTGTTCAGGTTTTAGCCTCAGGTGGAACAATTTTATACCTTGTAAAAGACGTTGACCTAATGCTATTATTAATTAGATATTCTTAATCCCATCTTTATTATTTTTATAAACAATCCAAGGCAGCAAACATATCTAATACTCCTTCCTATTTTCTGTACCTCAATAATCCTGTGACATGAACTGGTCTGAGAGAGAATGACTGATCCAAAGTCACCAAACTGGCTTTCATGCCTAAGATAGAACTAGAACTCAGAGCCTCCTGGTTTCTATGCCAGCACTTTAACCACTTCACTGAACTGACTTTAATATGCCTCCATTTTAAGGTTAGGCCTCTGTATTGCAATGGGCTTCTTGCATGGGCCTCCCATTCACTCATATTTGCTTGTTGATACTGTCACTTTTTAATTGAATATGCAACCAGGCACGTTTGCATCCCTCAGGGCATAAGAGCATTTGTGCAGTATCCATTTGAAGTAATGAACAAAGTTGTATTGTGTTAGTTGAGGAAAGAAGTAGTTGATCAACGAAGTGCAGACAAAATGAGCTCCCGGTTTGGCCGAGTACAGATGTTTTCCTCATCCCCAGAATAAAGGGCCTTCCCTACAGGCTCCACTCCTACTCCCCACAGAATGTCTGCCAGTTTCTCAGAGCTGAAGGAAAAGGCTGGAATTCAGCATAGCCCCTCTGCTTTGCAAGAAGAAGGTCCTAGGAGGGACTCAGTCTTAAATCCTGGAAAATTCCTGGTGACTGTACTGGATCAGCCCATGGTTAGACTAGGCCAGGGGTAGGCAACCTTGGCTCTTTTATGACTCATGGACTTCAACTCCCAGAATTCCTGAGCCAGCATAGCTGGGAGTTGAAGTCCATGAATCATAAAAGAGCCAAGGTTGCCTACCTCTGGACTAGGCTGCTTCCCATTTTAGAATATGGGACACTTTCCCTGAAAAAGGTGTGCTTGTACTCTTTCTGCAAAGTTGATTTCACTAAGAAAACCCAATAAAATCTTAAGATTTTTGGTACTATGTATCTGTTATGGAATATGACATTAAGTAACAAAGATGCCCACCCCAAAATGGGCAGATGTATTATAGAAGATACACGTGCAAATTACACTCTCATTCTACACTGTAATTTTGTTCATCTGTAGCGATGCAGTTTAAACTGCGATTTCTTTTACTTGTGATCTATGATCAACTATCCTTTTCTTTAAATTTTGCCAGATGATTGGGAAGTGCAATCAAACAAGTTTACAGTACATTGATTGACGGATTTTGTTTTATTTTAAAAAGTTATTTTTAAACTTTTTGTCCTGTCCATGTTGTACTTATACTATATTCTCCCAAAGGGAATGCTAATCTAATGCTAATCTAGTGTGAAATACTGAAAAATTAACATAGTTTTCTGTATAATTGCAGTTTCCAGCAGGAAATCTGGAATGCATGTGTAATGCACACCAAATTGGCAATGGAGGAGATGCAGTTTAGCCAAATGCAAGCTGAAGGCAACACTGTACTGTAATCTGTATCAAATGAATCTAAATTAGCCTGGGAAAAGGCAACACCAAACTTAATGCAAGCTGATTTAAGAAGCTAGACAAATATCCATTGGAAGCAAAATAAATTAATGCAGAAGTAGAGGATGAATTTGCATAGTCTAGATAGGAGCAGTAGTACAGAAGATTATGCAGCCAAGCTCAATAAACGGGTAGATAGATCTATGGGCTTCTATATGAGGTTAGTAATTATTATCCTAAGTTCATACACAGCATCTTATTACAGTCATACATGGTACCTTATTTCTGGTTTGTTTCCTCTTTTATCCATGGGTTGGTTATGCTATGTTGTGAAATTCATTCATGTTTTTGTTATCCAACTTTTCCTCAAAAGCAGCCTAGTGTTCCCATTTCCAATTTTTCTTCAGAACAACTATGAAAAGTAGGCTGGGTTGAGAAATGCAGGTAGTCCTCGACTTAACGGCCACAGTTGAGTCCAAAATTTCTGCTGCTAAGTGACACATTTGCTAAGTGAACTTTGCCCCATTTTACGAACTTTCTTGACACTTTTGCAGTTGTTAAGTTGGTGACACGATTGTTAAGTGCATCTGGCTTCCCCAGTGATTTTGCTTGATAGAAGGTCGCAAAAGGGGATCGCATGACCGCTGAGACACTGCGACCGTCATAAATATGAGTCAGTTAGCCAAGCATGCGAATTTTCATCACATGACCGTTGGGATGCTGCAATGGTCGTAAGTATGAAAAATGGTCATAACTCAACTTTTTTTAGTGCCATTGTAACTTTGAATGGTCACTAAACGAACTGTTGTAAGTCGAGAACTACCTGTAGTGACTGGCTAAAAGCCATGCAGTGAATTTCCATGACTGGACTAAGCTCTTCCCAGACCTAGTCCAGTCCTTAAGTATACTGGTCAATATATCAGATGAGGATCAGAAATCTAAACAGTGCACCACCACAAAGATTTATTTATGCTTATTCATCTTCTGCAACATGCATTCTGGCTTCTAAAGCTTAAAGGGAATGATCAAACAAAGCAACACACCTGAAACTGAAATAGAGTTTTCCATTTTACCCAATAGAAACATAAAATTATAGTACAATAAGTCCTTGATTTACAATCACAATTGAGACTGGAAAGCTTGTCATTGAGTGGTACAGTTGTTAAGTGAGGCATCATATAAATGCATCCAATTTCACAACCTTTTTTGACACAATCATTAAGCAAATCACCCATGCTGTTAAGCAAGACATCAAGTGACTTGGAACCTCCTGCCAGCTTCCTCATTGACTTTGCCTGTTGGGAGCTGTCTGGGAAGGTCGCAGATGGCATTCACATGACTGCATAAGGGCAAGCTAGTTGCCAAATGCCCAGATTATAATCACATGATCACAGGGATGTTGTGATGATCCTAAGTCACTTTTTCAGTGTCATTGTAACTTCAAATGGTCACTGAATGAATGGTCATTAAGGAAGATATTGAGTAATGATAGCTAGATAACTTTTAACTTGTCATTTGCTGCACGTGGAAAATGATTCTATAGCAAGGAAAAAACCCTGAAGTTGCAAGTTAGCATCCATTTCTTTAAGTCATTGAGTTGGATAGATTGGACACATTTGGCATGATGTTAAGCATTTTTGACTTTCTTATGTTATATCATGAATCCCATCATGAGATAATGAGAAGTCAAAGGTTCACACATTTCAGATAAGGCATACGTTTCCTTTTCTGGCTGGCTTTATCATTCTCTCCTCGAGCAAATATGAGGAACTGAATGTCTTTTCAGAATGAGGTTTGTTTTTTTTACAGATTTCTCTTTAGGTAAAATACAAAAAAGAGAAAATGCAACTGTTCCATGTAAGAACAGCTGTTGCCTTTAGCACTTAAATCACAGAAGAAAAGACCTGAACTGAAGCAAGAGACTTCTTAAAAAATAGAACTCTGTTCTGTATAAGAGCAACTCTTGCCTTTGGCAACTAAGCAGCCTTTGAACATGACAAACTGTGTTTTAGAGAAAAGCCCTTGATTTCATTCTTCCTGCAAATACTACCCAAATCCCAGAACACTCTGTGCTTTCTGGTACTTCATGTCTAAGCAATTTCAAATATGTCTTTGTAAATGCTGGCCAGAGCAATACACACATTAGTCACCCTTGCTTTATTCACACAATGTGAGCTTTGCAAAATAGTTCAGACAGGAAGCACAACCATCTTACTTTACTGTAAGATTACAGAATCTTGCAAGCCTGAAAGTAACAGCTCTCCCCCTTTGTCTTTACAGCCCAAGAAACTAGGGAGTGTCAAGTTCTTGGTGCCAGGTTGCCAGATTAACTGGAGAGTGAACCTCTGCAGTTATTTCTGTAATGCAGAAGATTTGTAGAAAACTTTTCTAGCTTTATTGTATCAGGAGTAGGGAGACACGTGTGAAAATTTGGCTAAGTTAGGTGGATTTTCCAAGAGCCATTAGCCACAATTACTCATCCATGCCTTATGAATCTCAGACTACCAAACTACAGAGAAAGACCATCACCTTTGTTCTCTAGCATTATGAACTTCTCATTGGCCACGGCCTTTTGGAAAGAGGGTACAGTGTGTAGAAGACTTGAGCTGATACTCCTGGTAGGGTCCAGCAATACTCCAAATGCAGCATTCGTTTGATCCTACAGATGTGGCGTAACAGACTTGCTTAATACTGTATACAGTTCTGACAGCTGGTTTTCTTTTGCACAGAAATTATAATTGCAGTTCACTGAAAATAATGTGAATAACAGGATTCTTAACATATCCTACCAATTTTTCAGATTCGATTGAATAGTCGTGGACTTATCTATTCTGTGGGCTTGTTGCTAGCTTCAGTTTTTGTCACGGTAAGTATATAATACTTTATTTTTTAAAAAGCGATCGTAGGCACATTGGCCATGAGGGGAAAAAAATCTAAACTTCACAGAGGCAATACCCATGGCTGATCTTTAAACTGTATCAGTACCATGTTTAGATGGAAAGCAAAGGAACATTTAGACCTGCAAATTGGATCTTATCCGATTGTACCAAGGATGAAACTGAACAGTTTTTTAAATTTCAGTATTATAAATCTGTTCTCATAAACATCTCTTTGTCAAGGAACTTAGGCCAGATTGTTGCTATTGGAAGAAGAAATGCTGTTGATTTATAAGAGGGATTAATGGAGAGAAGATTATTCACATTGGTTCATAGATACGGGAGAGCCATCTCTAGATTTCTATAGTAGTAATGACTTTCTTTCTATTTCTAGGTGTTTGGAGTTCATTTGAACAAGTGGAAGTTAGATAAGAAGCTGGGGTTTGTGTGCCTTTCCCTCTATGGAATCTTCTTGTGTTTCTCCATCATGACAGAATTTAATGTCTTCACTTTTGTAAATTTGCCTATGTGCAAAGATCATTGATCCTATGGACAGTCTGTTGAGAGGCAACTTCCTTCTGTACCAGTGCAATATGAAAACAGTTGACATTTCCAAGCAGTATGAGGTCCCCTATGAAGGCTGTGAAGTTCAGTGGGGCCTCTTCTTATCTTGGCTTAGTCTCTTTCTAAGCCATCTTTTCACACATACAAACGTTCACCTGGAAACCACCTATATTGATGTGAAGATTTACAAATTCAGACGCTCTAATGGGCAAACTAACTTTTACCTGGCCCTGAGCCAGAGAAACTGAACTATTACAGTTTTTTTAAGTTATTTGATGGAAGACTAATTTATGAATTGAGACTATAGCTAAGATACAAAGAAGAGGGTACATTGCATTGACTGCTTTTGGAGAAAAATGAAAGGAATTTATTTTATTCTTCTTTCCTAAGAAAGTTTCCTTGCAACTTATCTACTTTGTGGAATACTGCATCTCATTGGATGATTCCGATGTCATAAACAGTGCTGTGAGAACTGAATTCCAGGTACTTACTAACACAAATGGACCTATACTTTTCAGAAGTGGTACGTAATGACTTCCTTACGGGAAGTAATGTATCCCAGAAAGAGATTTGGGAGGAATCTTAACTGAATTCAGACTGTAGAGTTGAACCTTGCTGCCATTTTATTCTTAACAGCAGAATGTGATCACTAGGTTGTTTAGAATATTTCCAAGCAATAGTTTAGGCCTACCGACCCCGGCAGGCTCACGAGATGGAGTCCTGGTTTTTAACTTGATTATTGCCAAGAAAACTACATGGATGTATCCATGAAGTCACCAGGAGCCAAATGTGACTCAAAGGAGATTTAACTCTCTTTTTTTTCCTTTTAATTTAAAATACAATGCCTGGACTAATCTTTTATGGGTTCTCGATGTTTATTGAGACTATTCCTTTAGCACTTTTAGATTGAAAAGTACTTTATTACCCTCCTTTTCCTCTTTATCCTGGCAACAGTTTCTTAAGGTAAGCATTAATATTCCTGTGTCTTAAAAAATAGTGCAGTTGAAAAAGTCTGTGTCCCCACACATATCAATTTCAGGACCACGTTAAGATCTGAACCAAAATTATTTTGATCCAAAACAAAATTCAGATTTTGGGATCATCAGACCACCTATTAATGTTTGGAGACTGGAGAAGAGGAAATGGATGTAAAGGGACATTAGTTGAGAAGGGAATATAAGCACATGGCACATGTTTTAAAATAATTAGTTGAAGACACTGGTTTGTAAAAAGCATATTTTGCACATATATTATTGCTGATGTTATCATTTGCCATTCTGCGAAGGATACACTGGACCTGGGTGGGCATGTTATTGTTTTTTCCGTTTGTATCCCCCTGGGTGGTTTGCTTATGCAAATCCTATTTTAGGAATCTTTGTTGGTGAGTTCTTCCTGCTATTTACCACAAAATTGCATAGCACTTATTTTTAGTTTTCTTGACAGAGAGGATTAGATTTTGACAGAGAAAGCTATGATAAAGTCCCCCTTCAATGTTCCATTGACTCTGCTGTCTTTAATGTGGTTTGCTCTGCTCACTCTGGAAATCCTGAAGACACCTCAGCTTCCATGTAGACCACATCCATTCCCATTACATTTTCAGTGATAAGAGCTGCATTCCTGACTGTCCCAGTGACATTTAGGCCCGGACTGTCCTGTTTTGTTTTATTTGGTATATATGTGTATGCTTTGTTTTACTCTGCTTTTATAAGAAGGGATCTTTTGCTAGGCAAATGTGCAAGGAAGATTTTATCTACATAATTCACAAAGGGCATTCTTAACAGAGAAACAGCAAGCTGATGCCTGGGCATAAACACACCTTTCAATTTACCCATCAATTTATATTTTAGTGCTTCCTTATTCAAATGAGTTTCTTTTTCGGATCAATAGTATGAAATAAAATGTTGTGATCTGCAGTCTCCCTTCATCATAGCATCTTGCTTTTTCTTATGACTTCCATAGTTGAATTTCCCCTCGATCTGGTTTCATCCACATGCGTGGCTAATTTGTGGCCAGCCAGATAGAATAAATGTATTAATACAAACTTAGTTTAACAGAGAAAAGTTTGCTCTTTCTGCACCTCTCCCTCACACATACTGTACACATGAACATAATTTGCCAATTGCTCCCTTGTGCACATTTTTAGTGTTTTCAATTCTGTGTCAGACAGATGCAATAAAATTGTCAGAACTCATGTTCTTATACTAATTTAATGTTCTAATGTATGCTGAGGGACTATAACTGCATTCTGATTTTCTATCTCTTTGTTAATTAACTACTGAGCATCTAGCATGGCAAGAGCCATCTTGATGTATGGTTGAAGGCATAGGACTAGAAGCCAGTCGGTGACCTTGGGCCATTCATTTTCTCTCAGCCATAGGTTTTCTCTCAGCCGTAGGAAGAGGGTAATGATAAACCACTTTAAAAATGTTGTCAAGAGAAAATTTTTGGAAAGGTGTTTTCAATACTGCAGAGAAATTATGAGTTTTAATCTAGGGCAATCAATTGTTTCACATGGGGATCTACAGTAGTAGGTTTTTAAGCTTTAAATTCACAATAAACTCTAGGAGTGAAATACAGAAATAAATAGTGGCAATGACTATCTTTTCAGAGATTTTTGTCCGCCGTTACAGATTTATTTCATTAAAGATTGTTTAATATGCTCCTATGAAATCTTAGGATTCTTGTAACATATGACTTTTACCATCCATCATGCTTTCTTCATTCTGTTTTTAATTAAATAAATAATTATGGTCGCTTAGTATATTTCTGTTTTAGCATCCAGAATTTTTTTTAAAAAGCATTCTTTATTATCGCTTCCTCTTGGTTGTATAATAGATTACATATAGAAATCCATTTCACATCATCCATATGATCAGGATGGGTTGCTCCCATTGTCAACACAATACAATTTATTGGTGAGACTTCTGCTGCTTGGTCCTGACCAGCTCTAAATGATCCCCTTGGAATTTTCTGTAACTCCCTACTCCCTCAAAACGCAAACTATTTTCAAAACAAAATGGAACAGAATAAATGGAGAGCATGGAATGTCACATACATAACAATATTTTGGAGATAAAAATAATTTGTGGTCTTGCAGAGTGTGGCTGCTAAAAATCTGGGCACTGCATAGTGACATGTGCATATTGCTAACATAAAATTCTTCATTTTGGATCATTCTCTTTATGGAATGTGAATAACACCAGTCTAAATTTGTATCTTTGTATTAATGGAACACATGTTCATCTCTGCAACTATAAATTTGTATCTTTGTATTAATGGAACACATGTTCATCTCTGCAACTGTCCATTCAACTCAATAACAATAACAGACCACTTGGAGAACAGAATAACATTTAAAGACAAATGTTAAATTGAGAGTTTACCCTAATTCTAACAACAAGTAGAAGAAGGCTGGTGGGTATTGCCTATTCTCTCCTCTCAGCAGTTCCCAGCATGGCATATCCCACTAGCCCACCTTCTCTCCATCTACTCAGTGCCTTCATTTGCCTCCCACCGCTCAGTTGCCATTGCCAATGCCCTTACACAACATACTGTGTCATCCCAGTACTTTTCCTCCTTTGCACTCAGGTCCCAACACTATCTATGGCCCTGGCTGCCATCCTGATCTTTTCAGCACTTTCCCTTCACTCTCAGCCACATAGCACGTTCCAACTCCTTTATTTTAAAGTTAAGCCATGAAATAATCTTCCCAACTAAGCTGTGAACAGTTTTATTTCATTTATCAATTCAGTTTTTGATTTAGTACCAACTTCCCTAGAAGAGAAGATTGAGTGAGTTTCCCTTTAAACTTTTCACCTAAAAAGAAGTAAAAACAGCTGGTTTGTCTCTATGTAAATGTGTTAGCAACCTATAATAAAAACATTTTAGCCAGTAGTACTTCTTTCTCTGGCTTCATTATTAATAACTAGGAACAATAAAAATATTAAGGCATTTTTGAGGTTCATGTCGGAGATGATATCCATTTATTTTATGTGAGAATGTAATATTTTTAAAAAAATATAATTAGTTCAGGCTTTTCCATCATAAAAGTGAAAATATTTCAGTTTTGCAAATAGCAACTCTGCTCCAAATTAAGTGACATGTTTATTTTCTTTTTTATACGTAAAATAAGTAGAATCATAACATTTTCATTTTAAAACGTGTTTCTTTTTGCTGTAGGTTTAAAATACATTGTATGTTGCAACTTGATCTTATCTCATTTAGGCATTGATGTTTTGCAAGAATAGTGTAAACTGCTTTGTTTTGTATAACCTTGATAAAATAATTTTTCCAGAACAAACTGGATTCAATAAAATCTGCCTACTGGCATCTAAGATACTATCCCCCTTGATCTGTTTTCCAGTACCTGCCCTCTTCTTACTTTTGTTCAAGGATGTGATAGTTGATGGTATCAAAGGCTGCTGAGATGTGCAAGAGAGCTACTAGGGCCACACGTCCCGTGGGGATCCCAATTTATAGATCTTTCACCAACATAATCTATCTCTATCCCATTTCCCAGCCGTATTGCAATAGGTCCAGATAAATTGAATTCTGGAGTTAATGATGAACTGAATAAGTGTTATCTAAGTAAATTAAAATTAAACTTAGTGCTATTATGCCAGTAAGAATTTAGGAGTGGGGAAAAAAATAAGAATGTTTATGAGGCCTAAAGCAATTTGCCCTCAATTCATTTAATTCTATCTGCAACAATCGCTTATCAGCAGCCCTGAAGTGTCACATCCTGAAGCCAGACCCGAGGACAATCCTTGTCCTAACCATAGGGTCCTTGATAATAAGAATGGTTTCCCCTTCTTGGATCATAATTATATATAACTAAAGACAGTGCTGTAATGATTATGACAACTCATATGATGTTTCATATTAATTGGTGGATAAAAAGAAATCCTGTGACCCCTAACCTTAGATAAGGAGAAGGAAAAGATGCAAAGCCTCCCTGCTTGCATTCATGTTATTTGTTTCAGTG